GAAATTAATTATTATTATTTTTATATTATAAAAAATTTATTAAAAGTAGTATATAAAATATTAAATAATTATTAATCATTTAAAAAGTTGAAAATATAAAACAATTGCATACTCCTATGTGTTTCTATTAGGGTCATTTATTAGAACACACTTTTAGGGATGACAGTTTTTCCCATCCTCGATGGGGACCCAACTTCCCCAACCCGATGGGACTGGGGATGGGGATTGTTTTGGTGAGGCGGGGTCGGGGTCGTGGTCGGGGATTAATAGGAATCCCCGGTCGAGGTCGGGGTTGGGGATTGAGGTCCTCGCCCCACCTCGACCCCAATTATATATATATATATTAAATGTTATTTATATTAAATATACTATTATATTATTTATTAGATATATATCAAAACATATCTAAAACATTATTTATAATTTAAAATTTTTATTTATTTTAAATAAATTTATTTAAAAAATACTATTATCTGAAAACATTTTGGGATTCGGGTCCCCACGGGGAACCCATCCCCGTCGGGGATCGGGGATGGGGTTAATTTCAGAATCGGGGTTGGGGACGGGGAAGTTGATCCCCGCCCCGTTGCCATTCTTACACACCTTATAGTTTTACATATTTACTTAAACCTACCTTATAGTTTTACATATTTACTTAAACCTACCTTATAGTTTTTCATTTTACTAAAACATCCCATATATTTTGCAACATATTTACTTAATCAACTTTTCATTAAGAAGTGTTTGTTTTGCCATTAGGCCCATAATTTTTTATTCCAAAAATACCCTTAACACTTTTTTGTATAAAAAACAAAATTGACCAAATATAGCCCATAGAGTGGTTGCCCGTGTCTTATTAAGGGCAAATGTGGTATTTTTATTTTTATTTTATTTCGATTAAATTTATTTAAATGAACATTAGGGTCAACACTGTCATTTTCACTATCATTTAATGGAAGATTGATTAAATCCATTGCAAATTATAAGTGGTGTTTTAGTGAAATGCTAACTATACGGTAGATTTTAGTAAATCCTTGTAACTATTTGGGGTATTTTATTATATGACCCTTTCTATTATTTAGCTTTATGTTAATAAATCCCGTGCATCGCACGGGTCCTGCTAGTATATATATTAAAACAAAGCGGTCAAGAAATTTTTGCCTTTTTTTGAATTTTTTTATTTTTTTTATTCCATGTCATTTTTGAAATAACCAATGAGATGCACTTCCAAATAACCTAAATACTCTCTTCTCCTAAAATTTATCCTAAACTACCTTTCCCACTATCCCCCACTTTCTCCAAAATTATCTCCAATTCCAACTTATCTTCTAAATTATCTCTAATTCCTATTTATCTCCAAAATTATCTCTAAGTTAGTAGATAGTTTCTCTCCTAAATTATCTCTAATTCCTATTTATCTCCAAAATTATCTCTAAGTTAGTAGATAGTTTCTCTCCTAAATTATCTCTAATTCCTATTTATCCTCTCTCCTACTTTTTATCTATATCTATCTAAAGAAAAGTTTGGATTAAAAAATTTAAGAATTATTTAAATATTCTAACAAAATTATATAATAACATTTTGTTAATAATATAAAAAAATAATTTTATATTTTTACAAAATATATCACGAAATTATGTACTAATAATTTAAATTATGTTTTTTTATTGATTATCAATTTAAATGTAATAGTATTAAATAAATAAAATTCAAATAACAAAAAATTAAATATTTTATAGATTATCTAAATATTTAAATAACTAAAATATTTATTAGAGATGATAATATTGTTATTTATTAGAGATGAGACTATTAATTTAACTGGAATTATAAGTGTTCATGAGTTGGTTTGGTTCAGTCATAAGTTATTTGGCCAACCAAATTGACCTGGTAAGGTTGGGGAGTTGGTTAGTTGAAACTGACTGACCTTATGTGAAAATCAACTTCAAGTTGTATTGGTTTGGGTCGATTTTTTGGTTTGGTTAATCGGTTCAAATGATTTAAATTGAAAAATTAAATTTAGTTTTAAAAATTATAGTACAATTAATAAAAGTAAATTGAAAAATTATATTTATGATATAAACCACTTTAGACTAAGAAAATGGGAAATATTCCACTTTTCATATTAAAAATTATATTTAAAATATAATATATATATATATATATATATATATATATATATCCATGGTTAGGTCATTCGATTTTGGTCCATTTACAAGTGGCCAAAGTGAAACTTATCCAACTTGGTCGAATTGGAAAATTTTTGAAACAAAGTCGACCTAAAATACTAGAAAATCGACTAAATTGGATCGAATTGATCGGGTTGGTCGATTTCATCAATTTGATGAATAAACCTAATTGAAATTAATTATTGTTATTTTTGTATTATAAAAAAATTATTAAAAGTAGTATATAAAATATGAATTATTATTAATTATTTAAAAAGTTGAAAATATAAAACAATTGTATACCTTTATGTGTTTCTATTAGGGTCATTTACTATAACACAATTTATAGTTTTACATATTTACTTAAACCTACTTTATAGTTTTCATTTTACTAAAATATCCCATATATTTTATAACTTATTTACTTAATCAACCTTTCATTAAAGAGTGTTTGTTTTGCCATTAGGCCATTGATTTTTTATTCCAAAAATACTTTTAACACTTTTTTGTACAGAAAACGAAATTGACCAAATATAACCAATAGAGTAGTTGCCTATGTCTTATTAAGGGAAAAATGATATTTTTACTTTTATTTTCTTTTGATTAAATTTATTTAAATGAACATTAGGGTCAACACTGTCATTTTCCATTGTTATCTAATAGAAGATTGATTAAATCCGTTGTAAATTATAAGTGATGTTTTAGTAAAATGCTAATTATAAGGTAGATTTTAGTAAATCCATAAAACTATAAAGAATATTTTAGTAAATGACCCATTCTATTATTTAACTTTTACTTAGTAAATCCTGTGCATCACACGGGTCCCCACTAGTAAATATTTATTATTTGTTTCTCGTTTGTATCAACTCGAACCTTTTTTCATCTGTTTTTGGCATAGGAAAACTGAGTGATTTATTAGTTAGTACTTACTAGTTAGTAATGATGAAACACGGATTCAATTCTTTCAACCGCTTTCCTGACTTTATACCAAAAAATTTATATTTTATTAATATTACTAGTTAAGTGGTACATGTAGAGGGAGAGTCGTCATATGTATGTAATAAATTATATTTTTAGTATAAATTTTAAATTTTATTTATTCATAAAATAGAATAGGATATAGAACTTCACTTGTGCCTCTATAAGGGGGCGTTTGTTTTCTAATAAACTGGAGTGGGAAAGTTGATGGGCTTAAGAAAAGTAAAAGAAATAAAAACCCGCATTCGTGTTTTAGTATTAATGGATCCCATGGAAAAAACAATTTCCGAGTGACTCATTTACCTGGATAAGTAATATCCTCCTAAGAATTGTACAAATAAGCTTTATAGCAGTACAGAAAATTGTTAATGCATGATAAGATAATGACAGTTATATAGATTAAATGACTATTATATAAGTTTACCTGGAAAATAAAAGACACCAATAAATGCATTATCTAGGTTAGTATTTCTCAGTAAATACTTGCCCAAATAAATACATTTACCTAAGTAGTAAATGATATATCTAAACATGAATGAGGCCTAAAAGGCTGTACGATTCTATATTCTTTATTCTCTAGTAAGTTGGGTTGGTCAACAAATTTTTGGGCTTGGGCTTAAATTTTGTATTCAATTCATACCTGATTCATGATATATGTATATGCTAATTCTATACATAAATATTATAATCATATGACAAAATATCTCGATCCAGGCTGGCCCATGGTCCCACGTAACGAAGAGATACTTGAAATTGGTAATATATGGTAACCCTTTAAGCTCCGTTTGATTTTTGGTAAGTTATTTATCTATGTAAGTTTTTCTTGAGAAACACTTACCCGGGTAAGTGCATTGAATAAAAGGGAATGTGATTTATACTTTACATATAAAATTTAATGAGAGGGAATTGAATAAATTAAAAAAGTAATAATTCAAATTACATTTTCTACCTTCATAATTAGAAGGAGACCAAATTCAAAAACGGGGTATTTTAGTTAATAGTGTAATAAACGGGATATTTTAGTTGATAGTGTAATTTAGTGAGAGATAAAGGGAGTTAATACATTAATTATAAAACTTAAGGTGTGTACAAAAATCCAAAAACAATATAATTTTTCTATATGGCATTTGTTTTTGTTTTAAAAGCAAAATCAACCATGCTGTCCAACAACCCCTTTTAAGGATAGAGAATTGAATACAGTAAAAAATAGTAGTTTAAATTACTCTTTTTGCCCTCCTAATAAAAAAGAACCAAATTAAAGATAGGAGGTATTTTATTCAAAAACAAGATCTAGTGAGTATAAGACTGAGAGGGAATTAATGAGATAAAACTACTAAAAACAATTGAATTGAAAGTGGTAATTGAAATTACATTTTATGCCCTCAAAATTAGAGACACCAAATTCAAAAATAAGGGTATTTTGGTCAAATAAAATTTACACACTAATTCGTGCCAAGCCACACCAACGTCTCAGATTATCCTTATCCGGTCCAGTAAAACCTGGACACATTAGCCCACCAAGAAATTACATCACCCAATGTTCTGAAACAAATGGATATCCTGTCAAAATACAGATGAGACGTGCCCTAGCGTCCTCACTCAGTTCAAATTGGATTTCCTGCCTAGAGCCTACTACTCTCTACCCGCCCTGAATTGCAGTTACACATCGCTATCTTGGGTAGGGCGTGGGTAGAAGAACTAGAAAATATGGGTTCCATAAATTGAGAGCCCTACTTTTAATCTCTTTCATTCTCTTTTGCATTCTCTCTTTCATCGTGGCCTCGCCTAATTGAAGGTAATTCTGCATTCTTTCCTCTTCTTCTTCATCATCAGCAATGGTAGTCTGCTAGGGGACAAGGATTGAACGTTACCAGTAAACAAACCCCAAATCCTATTGATTAGGAGAGGCCCATGTTAAATTTCTTTCTTTATTTTTTTGTGATTTAGATGTAATTCATCAAGTGGACCGATCAGACTCTATCAGGAGCCCTTCCATTAATTACTTCCTAGCATAACCTTGATGGTTCAATTGGTAGACTAGTACAAGGACCATTAAGGGTTGGCTGGTACAAAGTAATCGAAAGTTGGCTTGGACTTTGGAGGTAAACAGATAAGAATGAAACGAGAATGCCGAACAAGATGAATCATCATTTGTTCCGGAAAGTGACGTAGAAAGAGATCAGTGGGCTTGGCCCAGCTGAGAGTGAATGGAAATGGAAGTAGAACATGGATTTTGAATGCGCTCGATGAAGTAGGGAGTAGGGAATCCTTTGTGGCAATATACAATCGAAGCAAACATTAGTGCCTCTGTTCTTTATACATTTCTAACTTAAATTATTTCATTTCAAAGACCCTATGTCCCATAGTCAACAAACAACCGCGGCTTTCTTCTACCATAGGAAGAGCTTGCCGAAAAGAGGAAGATCTGTCTTCTTGTGCTAAATGTAGATATCAAACGGTTAAAGCTCATCTGTTTTTTTCTGATTCTTGGTATGCATAGGAAACCCCTTTGGTGGCAGCTTCTGATGCTCTCTATGCATATGAGAAAAAGCTCCTCTGGGACAGCGGTTGAGACTTGAGGGAAACCCTCAGCGCACTGATCTCTGAATGCTTCTTTATATACCTTAAAGATCAAGTTTCTCTGTTTGCAGGGCTATGGCGACCACGGGTGGCAGTGGTGGAGCAACTGATGGTGGTACTGGTAGTACTGCAACTAAGAGAAGGGGATGCTGGTGCTCCAAAGATGATTTCTTTCCAGAGGAATCGTTCCGGAACTGGGGGAGCTATGTCAAGGCACTGGGTGAAACAAAGGCCAGACTCAAAGATCGCCTCTTTGCCAGATCACTTGATGACATTGAGCTGAATCAAGTGCGGGCCCGGAGCCAGCACGAGATGAAGAAAAGCCTGTCCTGGTGGGATCTAATCTGGTTCGGTGTGAGTTCTGTAATGGGTGCAGGGATTTTCGTGCTGACAGGTCTCGAGGCAAGGAATGACGCTGGCCCTGCCGTTGTAATCTCCTTCGTAGTGTCTGGCATCTCTGCTCTGCTCTCTGTGTTCTGTTACACCGAGTTCGCTGTTGATATCCCGGTGGCAGGAGGTTCATTTGCCTATCTAAGGGTGGAGCTTGGTGACTTCGCAGCCTATATTGCCGCCGGAAACATCCTATTCGAGTACATCGTGGCCGGTGCCGGGGTGGCGCGTTCATGGACATCATACTTCGCGACCCTTTGTAATCATGAGCCTGATGACTTCCGCATAGTGGTCTCTGGCCTCAACAAGAACTACAATCACCTAGACCCCATTTCAGTGGTTATCTCTGCCATTGTTGCTGTTTTGGCTTCTGTCAGCACAAAGGGCTCCTCCGTCTTCAATGTAGTCGCATCTGTAATCCATATTGCTGTCCTTCTCCTCATTGTTTGCGTTGGTCTTACCAAAGCCAACGTCGCTAATTTCAGCAACTTTGCTCCATATGGGGTGAAGGGCGTGTTCAAAGCCTCAGCTGTGCTCTTCTTTGCCTACGTTGGCTTCGATGGCGTAGCGACACTGGGCGAGGAGACAAAGAAACCAGCCCGAGACATCCCCATAGGCCTCGTCGGCTCCATGTTGATCACTATAGTGTTTTACTGCTTCCTTGGGGCCACTCTGTGCCTCATGCTGCCATTCACTGCAATAGATGTTAATGCGCCATACTCTGAAGCATTCCAGGCCGTCGGCATGCGCTGGGTTAAATACATAGTTGCTTTGGGGGCACTGAAGGGTATGACCACAGTCTTGCTAACCAACATCATTGGTCAAGCTCGGTACTTCACTCACATTGGGCGGACTCACATGGCCCCGCCATGGCTAGCCATCATCAACAAGAAGTTCAGGACGCCAATGAATGCCACAATTGTCATGACAATTGCCAATTCCATTGTAGGCTTCTTCACTGATCTCAGCATCCTCTCAAACCTCCTCTCTATCTCTACCCTTTTCATCTTTTCACTGGTCGCCGTCGCCCTTCTCGTGAGGCGGTACTACGTTGCCGGTGTGACGTCGAACCATGACCGGAATATGTTTGTTGGGTTCCTGACATTGATACTGGTTTCATCTATTGCAACAGCAGTATATTGGGCAGCTAGTGATA